TAGCTAACAATTGGTTGACTTTAGGGTCACAGTGGGGGTAACTTGGAAAGTGCTACTAAACTTATTTTTATCAGTATGCCTCTTATAGTTAAATATATTTAATTCCTGTTTGTGAGCTGGAGAACTACCAAGCAGAACGCAAATGTCCCTCAGCCTCAAAAGGATGAATGCTTCTATCTTTTATGCATTATCAAAGATATAATACAGTGTATTTGTGTTATTCAGTATATTTTTAGCAAGACTGAGGCCCAGACCATGTGCAGACTTCTTGGTTTTGTTTGTTAATAAAAGTCATAAATATGGCTGCAACCATTTTGACGGTCTAGAAGTTGCCAACCTTGTTAGGAATTGCATTTCTGTGATTACAGTCAAAATACACTAAGGTATTTGTCTATAAGTATCATCTTGGAACACTCATGTTTATGTTATGTTATGACCATCAATGTCACAGCATGTAAGAAGAAAGTGCATACATTTATGAAGATCAACATCACCCTATGTAAGAGTAAGGAATGTAATGTACTTACGAAGATCTGTGTCACACTACCTCAAAGTAAAGTTACAGAGTTGAGAGTCGAGTGTCTTATATCCAATTAGCCTACAACTCCAAGTATCTCAGTACACTGAATAAAACATATAAAACAGACAAAAAAGGAGCCATAATGTAAAACCTTAAAAGAATAATAAAACCTAGAGAAAAGTGCTTAGACGTTACCCCTCATTTCTTGCAAAGTAAGCTCATATTTAAGTTCAGATGGACTGGGTTAACAATCACTATTTTTAATGTTAAAATGCCCTAGGGAAGTTATAAACGCACCAAATATGCTGTTAACCTTACTTTATATTGTGTGCAGCTGTATGGCTTTGTACCAGGGACCAAACTTCCTAACTGGGCCAGCAAAGTGAAAGAGGCTTTTTTTTCCAAAAACCTTTCAATAACAATGCTTTGCTTGTCACTAGATTTCCATTTCGTTTTTTCTACTATTTCACACTAGTATTTGGTTTAGATTTTACTTATTTCCAATTACTTTCTTTGGTTGTTATTTTCACTGAGAAGTACACACTATCTATTACTCAATAGTGATAAAAGCAGGGAGGGAAATGCAATGGAGAGAGAAGAGCAAATTCAAATGTTTATTTCTGACACTGAGAGTCAATGCTTTTTTAACTCCCAGGATCATTCTCGCTGGCAAGTTTAATGAGACTTTTTAACATTTCTATAGACCTTCCTGGGATCATTAATATTGAGCACCATTTGTTGATCTTATGAGAATGCAATAAAAATGACAATTTTCGTTCTTTCCTTACAGTCTACGTAAGAAGTTACAATCTATTCAACTTTAAAAAATGAATTTTAATGGTTTAAGATCATTTACAAGCGTTGACAGGGTATACTAAAGGAGAAATGGCCATATCACAGTTTATTTTGTGGGGGAGGGCACTTAACTAAGATGACATAGAAGTGCACTGGTCGAATTCTCAGATCTGAGGTGATGCAGTCTGCCCTACAGGTCTGTGCTTTGTGAACTTTGTACTCAGACCTGCACAGAGATGGTGCTTCCAGCCGGCCCTGGCTCCCTGGAAGTGACTGATTGACTAGTAAACTGTCATGCAGCTCTTGCCGACATCCAGACACAGCACCTACCTAGGAGTCTGACCGTAGACATTGGTACCTCACTAGAAAAGAAGATTCCAATGTGGAACCCTGGTGCTGCTTCAGCAGGGCCAACAGAAACGGTGTCTGCAAATGCTGCTGCTCAGACAATGGTCCTCTACAAACTATTTACTAAAATATCTTTCATGACAGAAAACAATAAAAATGAAAACCTTCTAGGCTGAAGGTCAAATGGAACTAGGCTATTGTTGGTTGGATGAAGAAAAGTAATACAAGAAATTCATTCAGTTTGGCATAAGACTGCAATTTCAGCTGTAATGGCCACCAAACGTGCAATGAAATGAATCCAATTATTTTCACAAGTTTATGCCTCATGATGATGCCGTACTTCAAACCTTTGCCTTTTTTGTTTTCAGTTTTTTGAGCCAAGGAGAAAGAATCCTAAAACCCTTGTTTCTGGATGATCTGTCAGAAGACCAGTAAGGTAGCCTCAGAGGAAGTGCTGAGGAGCCTCTGGAAGCACAGCCCAGACCAGAAGCAAAGGTTGGGGTCTGTCCTTCCACTGAGTCAACGGCTGAGTGGCCCCCACATCTGCTGGGATTCCCTACTGTGAAATCAGGGGACCAACAGGTGATTTCTGCAGCCCTTATAATAGCCACATTTGATCTGCAAATCAGAACTCTTAACTGTATCTGAAGAACAAACATCATAATGTGTTATTTAATGCCTTCAAACATATTCAGTCCTTATCTATTTATTTATTTTTTGAGACAGAGTCTCGCTCTGTCGCCAGGCTGGAGTAAGGTGGTGCGCAATTTCAACTCACTGTAACCTCTGCCTCCCGGGTTCAAACGATTCTCCTGTGTCAGCCTCCCAAGTAGCTGGAACTGCAGGCATGCCCCACCACACCCAGCTAATTTTTTTACACTTTTAGTAGAGACGGGGTTTCACCACGTTGGCCAGGATGGTCTCGATCTCTTGACTTTGTGAAACTCCCACCTCCGCCTCCCAAAGTGCTGGGATTACAGGCCTGAGACACTGCACCCAGCTTCAGTCCTTATTTTAAGAAAATAATACACAGGTAAAAACTTGAAGAAATTAGAAAATCTTACATTATTATGATTGGAGTAGAAGCCTATTATACAGATTGAACTATATATTGTCCTGAAGACAGTCGTGTTCCCTACTGGCCTTCTAGACTTCATATTATAGTGAATAAGATAAACTGAAAATAACAATATTTAAAAAAGGAATATGAGATATATAACAATGTTTAAAAAGGAATATGAGAATTAAAAACTAAACATCATATCTCAGACTTTATATGTAACTTAAAATGTTAAGAATACATATAAATGTGATAATGTAATAAAAATCATAATGAAGTTATACCATTTTGTTTGAAGTTAAAAAAATAAGTTGATCTATATAACAGATTATTACTCAGCAATAAAAAAGAAATGGACTACTGATATACACAGCATGGATGAATCTCAAATGCACATGCTAAGTGAAAGAAGCTAGACACTAAAAGTTACCTACAGGATTATTCAATTTATATAATATCCTGGAAAAGGAAATACAGTAGGGCAGAAAACATCAGAGATTATCAGGCAGGGTCTGGGAAGAGAGAGGAGGAAGCCGACTCTGAAGATGTTCAGGGGAATTTTGTGCATGATGGATTGTTCTATATCTTGATTATGGTAGTAGTTACAGGCCTATATGCAGTTTTTAAATCACAGAACTATATACTAAAAACAGTAAATTTAACTGTACATTAGTTACACCTCAATACACCTGCCTAAATGGCCGATATTTTTCACCAATATATGTCTGGTGCTCCAGAAAAAAGGATGAGAAGGGTCTTCTCACATTGTCAATGGTGAAGGAGAGAAGGGCTGGTCCAAGGTGTGGGTAGTAGGAATTTGATGGGAAGGCAAAATCCAAGGGTACTTTCAGAAGATTAAATAAGCTAAGAAGTTCTCCAACTTACTGAGTTACATGGCAGGCACACACTGATGGGAAGGAGAGAGGAACCTGGGCAGGTCTGTGTGTGTGATGTGTGCCCAGAAGTGCTGGTGCCTTCCCTGCTCCTGCTTTACTAACAGCGCCAGTCAGCAGCACACTCTCACTCACACACCCTTGGCCCAGACCCCACCATTAGGGCAATGAAATATCACGCTTCTCCATTCAAGAACAGAGTTACCAAAACATGATCTGTCTTGTCTTTTCTCTGCCTTCCAGTTAGTGCACTGTTAAACTACTAAGTAAGATGTCTGCTTCTGAGTCAGATCACTGGAGGAGAGTTTTATGAATCACCTGGAAGGTGACATGTACACAAGCGGAAAGCATCCTCAGTGAGCAGAGGGGCAGGGAGCCGACTGACATCTCTGAAGTTCTGGGTTCAGTCCTGTGTTGGAGTTAGTGTTCATTCTGGGAGGATACATGTATATAAAATGGGAAGAGATGATGAAACATATTTAACCAAAACAAAAGAATGGTCTGCATAATGAACAAACAGGACTGAGAATCACAGGGTCTAGAGAACCAGGAGGGGCCACTCCAGTGTGGTGCATGTGGGGATGGTGTGGGGTTTCATTTTATCACATAGCCAGTGGGGTAGGCATCTTGGAAACTATATTTTTGGGGTAAATCAGGAGAGCCTGTTCCAGTGGGAATATAAGCCTACAGAGTTGGATTGCTAGCACTAACCAGGCTGATCAGATTCCTCTAATTTTAGGGCATGAAGCAGAAATGTCAGTGGCTAAAGGTCATCACTGCTTTCTCTCCTAAAAAAAAAAAAAGAAGCAGCAGCAGACAAAAAAGGCAAAAGGCAGGAGGTATCCCATAGGTCACAGGGAAATGGGCTAATTGGCTGGAGTGATCTGGCCTCCTATCAGCCTCCTGACCTGGTGTCGTGGCCTCCTTTGTGGAGAAGCCGACATAAGAGAATTGGAACAAATGCACTTTAGTCCCCAGTCACAGGTGAGGCAAGGGTCTTATAAACACATTTTGTCTTTTCTGACTTCACCTCTGAAAAAGTGTGTAGATAGCAAAGTCTACATAAAATAAAATACATCTTATCTGTTGCACTGAAAATTATGTTTGTTAAAATCCAAACTGATAGCAGGTATTATTGAATATATTTAGGAAAAGAGAACAATGGAATTACCCAAACTTTTAAATAATAAAAAAGCCTCAGGGAGGACATTCACTTCAACCGCTTTCCCAACCATCTAAGTTTCATTATACTTTAAATCTTTGAGTACTTAACTGGGATTTACAGACAATAACTACAACAGGGAGCTGATGATGATGAAAGAACAGATATTTCTACACTGGGACTTTGCATTCTTCGTAAACCAGACAAATAAAAATAATGTTGTTTGATGACTTAAGCTCATTTATTTATTTTTGAGGCAGTGGGTGATCCATGAGTATTTAAATAGAAATAAAAATATTTTGTTTAATATTTTAAACTAAAATAATGGTTCTTCCTTTACATAAATATACCTTGAATGAGAAGTAACAGAAAAAGACAAAGGATCCTACTGGCAGAGCTTCGAATTCAGTGGGACATCACTGAAATGTATTAGCAACACACACCACTGCTTTATTCACCCTAGGTGCCGTGTATCAAGCTATCGAAGAGAATCTGCTGAATATACCAACTGTGTCTCAAAAAAACATTCTTTGTATTAGCTAGAACAAGGTTAACAAACATTAAAATTGTTCATAAAAGGATTCTGTGATTACTATATTTCCACAACTTGCGAGAGCTTGCACTGATTAGTCTCTGCCAAAGAGCCTTTCCCAGCTGCATTCAGCAATATCCTGGAATGACAATTCTGTCAAATTAACTTGAAAATACCTAACGTTTTATTTACATAGTTCCCTGGGTATAAAATTGCATACTTCTTATTATGTTGTACTGGAGATCTATATTCTTCTTTAGAATAAAATAATGGGGATAACATAAAATTTATTGGTGGGAGAGCTATAGCTTTTATGTATGTAGTAACATTGTTGTGAGTAAGTCTTCCAATCAACATTATCTCTTCCGAATATAAGACTTGTAAAAACAACTTATACAAAACACTGAGGAAACATCTCTAAAATTAGATAAGTTAAATACTGAAGGTACAAATAATTCATTATGAGTAATAACTGTTTAAAGCTAAACTAACCACATTATTCGACTTTTTAACACGTGAAATGTTTGCATTTTCATTCTGCAGAAAAGGAAGAAATTTTTTTAGTAACTGATTTTAAACATTAAATTCAAAGGCTTATCTATTGCATCAATGGTTTTTATTGCCTGTGTGGCTGTAAGGGGATCTTAATGAACTGACTCTATCAATTTGCTCTTAGGAGGTGTTAAAATCACCCATAAACATTCGTTTCATCTACATGTTTAGGAAAACCCACCATAAGACAAATTCTAGCAAGTAAAAAAATGTTTTTAGGATTTCACTTCAGAGGGTATATTTTTCCTTATTTAAGTACATCTTTGTGTTTAAGAGGAGTGGGAGTGGAAACAGCATCCACAAACGTTTGGCTATAAAACTCTAACGCAGTATGTAATGCATCCACATATTAATTCCTTATATAGCATTTATAAACACAGAAAAATATTGTGTGTGTGTGCATGAGTGTGTGTGTGTGTGTTCCAATATAAATGGGGAAGGAGGTGAGAAGCCTCCTAGTAATTTTATTCAATAACTCTCAGTTTACAAGAAGTACCTGGTTAGCTTTTTGTGAATAAAATATTAGTAGTAATTTTAAAATTCTGACACCTCCCACAAGCTTCTTTTAAGTCTTATAAATGAAATTCTTCTTTAAATTAAAGATTTATGCAGGTTTACAAGATCGTCTGAGATCACACAGAAACATCTTAATATATGTGTCTAAACAGTATAGTAGTTTGATAATCTGTGAATCACTTTATCACTATTGCAAAGCCAATAAAAGCCAAACATCTCACACACATGTACATTTTTTCACATCTCTGCATTTTAGCAAATCACAAACTACCAAACTTTAAAGTTTTCACGTTTATCTCAAAATTTAAAAAAAAAGTTTGATAATATATATTTTCGAATGTGTCATTTAAAAAAAAAAGCATTAATCAATTTCAAACAAATTAGCCAATAAACTAGCAAAAAAGTGTGGCCATTTCCAACTGATACAATTAAATTCTCTAAAAGTGGTGGGTTTTATTTATAGAAGTTTTGTCATCTTTTGCAAAAATAAATTCACATTCTAGTTTATCATCAGTTCAAAAAACAATTCCAAGGAGATAAAATACTATAAGTATCAAGAATTATTTCTATAAACTTTTCTCATTATTTACTAGTATTACTACAAAAAATGATACTTCATCTTTTCAAAGCAGAGATTTGGGAAGCTATTGTTAACTTCAGTGTCAGAAAAAAAGATAACTTCAATATCACATATTTTTACAAAACAGAAGTGTAAACTTAAAGAATCATGACAAAGAAAAAATGATGAATTAATAAAATAACACTCCATTCTTATCTTCAAACATTAAAATTAGGGAGCTATTTATTTTCACTATAAATAAGAAATGTAAACTAAACATTTAAATGATCAGACTACTAGTCAAAACTATGAAGCCAGGGCCACTCTACGGTGACATGAACTTTTCTTTTTCTGTAGCAGATGCTAGTATGTAACCAGGGAGGAAAGCGAACCCATGATCCCCATTTCTGGTCTTCGTTCATTTAGTAGTGCTGACTAAATGTGGCAAAGGCAGATTTGCTGGTGATGAACTCGCGATAAAATGGGAAAAATGTGAACCTTGACCTTTTTAACACCACTTAAAAATCAGAACCAGATCTGTCAGTGCACCACCCCACTGCCTATCGCCTAACAAATTGGAAAGCTGATCTCCTCTCCTCTGAGCAGAAAGTAGGCTTGTCAGAGGCTAAGCTGAGCAGCAAACTCCCAACAAGGCTTAGCTGAACAGCAAACTCCCAAAAGCAGAGAAAGACCACAAGTATGAAGTCAAATTTCATATGATATCTTGAGTTTACAATAGTGTGAGATGTTAAAAATAGTTTTGAACATTGTTTCCTTTGCCTTGTTTTCATATCTCATTTGTAACACATAGTGCAGAAGATAGAGTTTTTCACCGAACAAGAAAGGATGTTTACATTTTTATTGCCGGAGCATAGAAATGCCATCGTCTGTGCTCCCCAGCTCCATGCTTTCATCTCTCTCTCCTCGGGGATCATCATTTTAAACTGACCAAAATATCCTAACTTCATCAGGCAGCACTTACCACTGACAACTTCTTTCTGTAAGAAATATTCCTCAATTAAGGGTTTTTTAAAGCACCTTTTCCTCTTTATTTTCTTCTTAATTATAGAACCTTTTATTTTGTATTTCCCTTTCATTTCTCCAACCTAGCAGATTTGTAACAGCAGAAAAATTACTACTAGGAATATTATAACTACTTAGTGTTGTCTAATACAGAATTGAGTTTGTTTTTATTACAAGGAAGAACAAAGACTGCTGAAAATATCTGTTGTCTTGTCATTTTCTATTTTATTTTAAACTGGAAAACCTGGTACCAGGCAAAAATGAGCTGAAATTTTACAACAAATTAAGCTAGAGTGATAAAATCCATGAAGGAAGAAGAGGAGAAGCAGATTAAATGACATTTAAAAATATCCAAGCCTTCATTTGATTAAGTATAATCTAATTACAAAAAGTTGCTGCTCAGCTCCCTACCAAACAAGGAGACCTCAGAATGCTTAGGTTAAAAAAGAAAAAAAGAAGAGTGAAAGGAAAAAAGAGGTTAGAGAAGCAAAAATAATGCTGAATGAAAGCACTTGGAGGCCAATGGCTTTGAACCTGGGCTCCACCAGTCATTCTGCCCAGCGAGGCAGTCTGCAGAGGCTTGGGCTCCTGTTAACAGAGCTCTCATTGTTTCCAAAGGCAGTTAGAAAAATGCTGCTTTATATCTCCTCACACCACAGGCTCCGTGCACAGCCCCAAGAAAAGACGGCTGAGGGCGTACAATCCACAGGAAGAAAAAAAAACGCGTGGCTATATATACAGCCCCCAGCCCCACACCATACCAACACAGAAAAACACTACCCCAAACTCAACTCCTGGCTGGCAAACTGTGGTAAAGGATGTTATGGTGGTGCATAATTTATAACTGGAAATTTCTGATTCATGTGGGATTTGGGGCATTTCTTTGCCCTTTACCCACCGCCTCTCCATTTCCACCTCAAGCACAGGGAGGTGAAAGCTGTCAGGCAGTGGGGCTGATGCCATCAGGCAGCAAGGAGATAAACACTACATTTTTGAGAGTGCAGTTATTCCACACCTGTTTAAAATGTTTATATAGTAATTAAAGATTAATGCTTATTCCAGACCAGATAAATATTAGACAGTGCATGTGTGTATATACATATATGAATCTGCAATGCTGCAGAGAACAAAGATTTTATTGTATCAAGCTTACTTAGCAAAGGGTATACATTTTTAAAAGGCCTGAGCTTCACAAAGTTTACATTACAGAGGGGAAAGAAGGCTTAAAAATGTTAAGTGGTCAGAGCTACTGAGTGCCATACAGAGAGCAGGTAGTTAGTGGTGAGTATGAGCTAATTCTGCTGCTAATCATTTGGTTTTCTATTTATTAAAGGGCAGGTCTCAGTTTACTCCTGACCAGCAGCCAGTTCAGTGGGCCACTCTGAATTGCTTCCTGAAGTTCAACAATTAAACCTGCTATTTTCCAAGAAAAAGAAAATATTTAAGCTTTTATAAATGTAGTAGTTACAATATAAAAGTTTTATTTTTAAATTTCAAAAAGGTAATGCAAGAATTGTGTTTGGTTAAGAGCTCTGGGCCACACTATAGCATCAACGTCCCAGAAAACAGCAGAAAGCCTGAGAGGTGAGCAGAGGCTGCTGAACCTGTGGGAGTACACTTGCCACACAGTGCCCCCGGGCACCCCTAAATCCCCATGGTCAGCACATACAGCATGGACAGTATGCTTTTTCACGTCCTGCTCAGGAAGGAAAATCATCTAACAATGCTCACTGGATGACAGCAACAATATATTCCTTGGTTTATAACTGATTGTTTTGTTAGCTTTTAAATTAACAGCAACTTTTAAAAAGTGAAAATAATCAGTGTTGTATTTCATTTTATGAAAAAATGCTCCTGACAAACTGCATGGATATAGTTAGCTACACTTCCCAATTCACTTACCATAATTTACAAAGACTTATTGTATTCCATTCTGATAATATTAATTCTGGTGAATAATAAATGAAAAAAAATTACTTTGAACTCAAAAAAGTTTTAAACTGTGACCATTTTAAAAGTTAAAATGTTCACATATTGCATTTTCTTACGTCACATGCTAATAGAGCCAACTACGGAGTACTTCTAAGAGTAATTAAATAAATCTCTTTAAACATTTTCTAAAAAGAATTTTTTTTCCATTGTGAAATATTAACGAAGGCATATTTTATTTATACTAGTACATAACAATACAAGCAATTAGGTGTGTGTTTAAAAACGTATTGATTGGTAAGATAAAGTCAGTCTGACAGATGTGATAGAATGTGCGGACAAATGTAGACGGAAGCAATTTGTACAAGTCTAGAATCCATTTATCTGGTTTTACCACATGGTGGACACATACTACCAGAACATCTTCATCTTAACATTCACCAACTTACTGTCACCTACCTGGCCAAAAACCGGAACCCTGGACATTGCGTAAGCATTGAAGGAGAAGGTCATGTCACATAGCTCTCTAGAAATAAGTGGACACGTAGATCTTAGAGGATAGGGAGAGAAGAGAAAGTTTCCTTCTATTAATTAGGTAACTGTGAAGTATTCATAAGCATGACTAAGATGTTTAATAAGTCAGTAAATCAAAAGAAAAATCTGAGAAAACAAATCAGAATAGAAATTAAAATTGTTTGAGAGGTAAAATGATAAAGAAAATACACATTCAGGAATACTGGTAGCAGAAGGCAGGATTTTTGAAGGAACAAGAAACACTCCTGTGTTATTTGTAGGTGTCCCTCGTGTCTGTGGATGGGTGCTTCCCCCAAAAGATGGTCCTAGGAAGGGAGGATCCTAAATGTTAACTTTCCTTCTCAACGGCTGTTTTGCCATCATGTTTACCCACTACGTTTATTCACCAGTAAATATGGGGTAAATACGTGCATGGATGAACCAAGGAAGACCACAGTGTTCCGGGTTGAATGTACTTAGTTTCCTAGACCCTTCATCACAAGATTGCCTCGCATCCGGGGAGCAAAAATGGATGGAAGGAAATTGAGAGCCATATTTTGCGGAGCACTGAGATAGACATGTCTACATTATTTATAATTTTTAGCATTGAGTTTTAATAATTTTACAGATGAAAAATTTTATCTCAAAGGTATCAAAGTGGCAATGTTGGGATTCATTCCTAAATCTCTGAACTCATGTGTAGGACTCTGCCCAGTATAATGTGCTTCAAAGGTTACAAATAAATGAGTACCTCTAGAACGTGCGGAATGCATTATGTATGGTTGTGAATTCAGAGGCTCAATATCCAGATAAAATAGCTCTGTAACTTAGAATCTTATAAAGCAGTATTTTTATATTATTTGAAGTCAGAAAAATACTATGGATATTGTAAGTTTAAAATATTCATTTTAATTACTCATAATTTATATCCACTCTCCTTCTAAAAATGACTTAAAATAATATTCTTACAATGTGAACACCTACAACTGAAATACTAAAGTACAAGAGAAATATTAAAATAGGGATCTGAAACCATCCATGACCACGTGAAAATGCACCAGGGCTTTGCGTTCTGAGCACCATCTTTTCACTCTCTGAGAAGATGAGGCAACTTAAGCAAGAAAAGGCCCTGGGTGAGATAGTTCATGCTGCTTGTATAAAAGAAAAATACTAGTTCTTTCAGGAATGCTTTTCTCTGGCACTAGGTACATAAGGTCTCATACATGGATACTGATTAAAACAAGTGGGAAGGTTTTCAAAGTCATAGATTTTTGCTTTTCTTGTTCCTATTTTTTAAGTAGAGTTCCTAAATAAAAATCAAAGGCGTAAGTCACAGCAAGGGCACAACGAGAGGAGGAGTTGACCCATCTGTGGCTCAGGTATGTTTCTCTACGGTGATCTAATTTGAGGCTGATTGAGGGTTTAGACAGCAATGAAGAGGGTGGCATGGGGTCATTCTTTCAACAGCAATTATTTCAGACTCACTTGTGGCAGGAGCTGCAGGGTTGTCAAGGTCTTGCTCCTGGTGAATGTCTGGTATTTAGGTATTTGGAACTGTTGATCTGCCTGAGACTCACAGCCTTTAGATATTCAGGCAGTTTCTGACAGTGGTTAGAAATAAAGAAAAACCTGAGACCATTTTACTTCTGCTTCTCAGCAAGGGAAGAAAGTAAGCAGCCGAAACACTTATAGGCAGAAAGAAACTTTTAATGTTAAAAAAGAAATCAGCACAGAACCCAGTGTTTGGGACCACCATGCAGAAAAGGAACATTTAGTGGGTGATTCCCCTTCACACTCTGTGGAGGACCCACTAAGGACAGGACGGGTCTTGGCCCCAGGGATTCCCGGCTCTTCCTCCTGGATGTGCTATGGTTACAAAAGCAGGGAGGCTAATTTCTTGGGACATTTCCACACACTCTGGATAGAAGGGGGCATGTCCTGAAGGGTCCTTCTGCTGCAGGGTAGGTGCAGGCAAGATAGTTCTGACCACAACTGTCTGCTGTCCATTCTCCCCAAGCAGGTGGTGGCTGCTCTCTCACAGGTTGTACCTGGGGCCTGCTTTCCTGGGCAGAGAGGAAGACCATGTCAGGATAAAGGCCACACAGGGCTGGCATCTGCAGCCTGATGTCTCTGGCACTTGAGTTGAGGCTTTAATTCAGTGGCCACTTTAATGTCATTTTCCTCTTTCCACCTCTCCTTGCTCCTCAGTGCTGGATGACACCCCATCATCAGTATGGCAGGTTTGTACAGAGAAGTGCACTTGGTGGTGACAGCCATGTACACTGAGTAAGAAACTAGGACATCCATTCCATGAGCTCTTCCAGAAGAACTAAGGGTGAGCACTTCATCCAGCTTGTACTTTTAGCAATGAAGATATGCCCAGACCTTAGAAGCATGATATATACCTGTGTCAACCAAGCCACAATCTCCATCTCTTTCTCCCCAGCCCAGCCCCACAAACACCTACACACACATATACAAAGCACAGCTGCAAAACAGTCCAAGCCAAATAATCATAGTGACTCTTTGCTTGTGATTTAGGGTGCCTCAGATTGCCTGTGTGAGTACAGTCTCAGCACATTTTGTCTTTTAAGGGAAGGAACTATTTAGTTCAGAGCCAGTTATCTTGAGATAAATATCTTTAAATACACTCTTCCTTATACATACCCTTTTTAGTAGAATAATTATTTTCATTACACCCAAGACACACCTATGAAGTTTAAGAAGTCACTTAGAAATAATATTCAAAACAAATGCAAAACACACACTATTTATTAAATTAAGTCATGTTAAGCGAGTAAAGTTTTATTTTTCAGAAGGCAGAAACTATACATTTTTTAAAAAGCCAGCTAATTAACTTATGTAAACAAAAATAAACACAAACAGGGCCCATGGAACTAAAAATGTCACCAGTTCCAAATGCTGGATAGATGTCTGGGTCTGCTGCAGACATTTACTATTTTGCATATGAAACACATCGAGGTTTGAGTGGCTTCCACTAATTGGAGAGAAATGTCTCTCCTTTCCAAACTGCCTCCACCCATCCATATCACTATCCCCCAGTGCGCACACGCGCGCACACACACACACACACACACACTTAAACCACTGTCTAATTACTCTGAACATCCATAAGGAAAGTTAACAAGTACCAAGGGTTAAAAGGGGCTGGCCAGAAAGGGGAGGGGAGAACAAGCTGGGGACCCTCCAGCTGGGACCTGTTTGTGACTTCTTGGCTTCACTGTTTGAGACTTTCTGGCATTTTTATTGCCTGTTGTCTCAGTGATAATGTGCAAGCATAGAGATATATTAAAAACCTAAGTAAATACATTCGAAGAAATAAAAAGAGGTCATTAGAGAAAATAGCGAAAGAACAGTAATTTTGAAGTGACATGTACAGAGAATGTAATATTTTAATTTTAAAAATTGCCATAAGAATATTAGTGAAGGCCATTATTATTATTTTAATTGGGTACTTTGGGGTGCACAATCAAACGAATAACAGTAAATGATGTTCCCTGAAATGAAGAGTTGAAAGAAACCTTTGGTAAACTGGATTTTTTTATCCTTCTTTCTTATAGAGATTACTTTTTTTCATGAAATATAAAAGGGTTCATCTACCAATTTACAATAGAAAAATGCAATGATCCTTGTTCTAAACATACTTGATACTTGTTCCATGCTAAGTATGACAAAATTGCTGTTCTAAGGTGCTGTTGCTAATAATAAAGAAAGCCAATTATGATGTATTCTTGTCAGGACTTTTTAAAAACAGTTACAAACGGCTCAATTCTTTTCCTATTACTCACGTAATAATTAATACTTTCTACAAGAGCACAGTCCACATTACCAACATGGCAAGTTGCTGCCTTCTTTTCTTTTTTCTTTTCTGAATGAGGAAAAAGATACTGCTATCAACGCCAGCCGGCCCAGATGTGCTGGCACCATCCTCTTTCTGTATGATGCTATGAGCACCTACAGTCAACAGATTATTTATCAGGAAGAGAAGCACTTAATTCTAACTGCTGGCTCCCTTCCCTATGACTGGAAAATTACCTTCTCAGATTCTCTCTTTCAAATTAATCTCTCCTCATCCAGGGTCCTCTCTATCCCAGTTGTCACCCTCTCTGTCTTCTGGCAATAGACAACAATGCCCTTGGCACAACCCACAGCACAAACACTGGCTGGAATGCAGTGCTGAGCTGAGCTGGGCTGAGCACATCCACCGGGCTGGCTAGCAGGGGCTGCTTGTTTTCACAAAGGGAACAGACAATATTTTAACTGTAATAATTCAGTCCATATTAACTAGAATAATTCAGTACTTATAATTTATATTCTTTTGCCTATGACTTGCATGATGTGTGATATCGAAGAAAAATGATATTTACGCTTTATGGAAAGGTTGAAGAAGTGAACACATTGATTTGTAACTAGACTCCTTTTAACATTTTTTCTCCAATTGCTCTGTCAGAACTCAGGGATATGATAGTCCTATGGATAAAACAGCCCACATTTGCTAGCTACATGTGACAACATCCAAAAGGGGTACAATATATCACTGAAACAGCCCACAAACTGGCTAGTCACATTATTTATTATGAGCCACACATGTGACAAATTATTTAACTCAGTTGATCCTAATAAGTCAAAGAGCAAGCAATTAGCTAACTCAGTCAGAGGGCTGTTTGTGGCAATTTATAGATGCGCTCAAGCTGTCCCAGCACTTCAAAGCCCCATTAAGGGGAAACCTTTTAATGACTCACTTGAGATGACAAGTATTACACAGCACATATGGCAGTCAGGAATTTGGCAGCCTATTCTGTTACACTCTGCCCGCCCCCAGCCCCCGACAGCTGTTTACAAGTTTTCAGTCTCTGCGCCTTGCTGTTGTAAGCAGCCACAGAGCTGCAGGAGCAGGAGGGACGGTATTTTTGAGAGCAACAAGTGGCAGCAGATTCTTGTATCACACAGGTTCCTGGGAACCGCTGAAATTCCCACTCTTTCATCGGTCTGCGTGAATTGTTTCACAGGAAAGATAGAGACACCTAGACAGTAGGGGATAGCCCAGGTGGCACTCAGTAAATAGCCTCCTCCAATTCTGTCTCAGTTCTTTAAAGGCAACGTGAAGCTATTATAATAAAAACTTATCTCCCTACAGGGCTGTTGGTAGAATTAATGAACTAAATGTTAGCAAAATGCTTTGAAGATGAAAAGAGTTATCTATACCAGTCCTAAAGATTATTATTATTCATTGCAACATTGCTGCCTGTTAGAGGGTGTTTTGCATTTGACCTCCTCCCACTTTTCCTTATGGAAATTTTCACTTGGGCTGGATCCACATCCACATCCTTAATCCCATCGCCAACCATCCTGCCCCACCTTTGGAAGAAGAGTGCAATGCCACAACTAAACTGTGCAATAAGGGAATGGAATTTTAAGCAACAATTTCCCAGAAGGATGCTATATTGGGGCCACTTTTTCCCTGGAAACAGGGCACACAACAAACTTAGACACCGAGAAATGAAATGCCAGCTGACATGCTCGGTAACTTTATTATTGTCCACAATATTGAGGCAGCACTGAAGAAACTAGCCCTAAGCCTAAAGGACTGAAAAAGAGAGGAAACTGAAGATTTTACTATGTAAAAAGCTGAGAGGCCCAAATACCACATCAGTGCACTTAATTTTTAAGTGGTAAAGATCCTACCTCTTTATCTGTGATTTCAAGTACTTTAGTAATGCCAGCTTGGTGAAAGACAAGCTTAATCAAGAGGAGAAGCTGGTGACAGCAGGAAAACACGACACCCTACCCTGTTTGGATGGGGCCACAATTTACTAAGAAAAGACAAGTGCCAACCTCTACCAAAGTACCAGAAACCCACCGGAACTCATCAAATCCTCTTATACCACACACTCGCTTTATTCACGTGAAACAATCAGTTGATTGTGCTTCTGTATTCCCCAAGGGCCACAGCTGTACTAGGGCCACGGTGTAATTAGAGCTTGCAGGAGGCAGACGGACCAGTGGGAGGAAGGGTGACCACTGTCTCAAGCAGGGCACTGGCCTCCAGAGACGACCCGCTTGGGGGTGTGCCAACCCACAGGGACTTCACACACACTTGGCCTCGGTGCTAGGAGTTGCTCTGTTCTTGACTTCACTTTTAGTTTTTCACTGTGGCTTCATGGAGTTTCAAGTTTGTTATTTTGATTATATAACAAAGTTTAATGAAAGAAATGTGAAAATCAACAGATAGTATAGAAAAAATGATGGAGAGGTGAACATTTAAGTTGTGGTTTAAACTTTTAATTCTTCCTCCCATATACTCCTTAGTAAAAAGAGAGTCCCTTTATACTCAAGTGCTATCAAAATCCCATATATTATGGGGCAGTTTCTCCATATATTAGTTTGAAGAGCTAAGTACTATGTTGGAGTGGTAGAGAGAGAACGTGTTAGTCTGATATAACATGAATTAATCCTAGTTTCCATGCTTCAAGGGTCACACAAGAGAATCCCTTGAAAACAAGCGATAAAAATGTCATTGTGAGTATGATCTTACAAGAGTTTTATGTCAGGAACCCTTTAAAAAAGCAATATATTAGGAAGCTAGGGGAAGCATGATAATATTCACATATATGTGTATATATAAAATACATATATATAACAAACATATTAATGTCCTGAATGAAATAGCAGATATTCTCATATATGCAGTAAAGACCCATGGCTTGGGATGGACTTCCCTGTGGCAGCACCAGCAATGGATTTAAAAGCCTCCAGTGAAAATGTGCTCTAGAAAACAGATGACCACAAAGTGTCTTATAGTAATATTGACATTGATGTCATGGATGTGTTAAAGGATATTGAATAAAATTGTTTTTCAAAATGTGAGAAGTAAAAAGCCCAATGTTTGGAAATATTTTAATGTTATTTTACAAATGTATGTGTAGCTTTCAGTAAATTAAACATTTACAGTTACTTGACCATTTTGTCCACATTCTTTTTTTTTTTTNAGAAAGAAAGAAAGAAAGAAAGAAAGAGAAGGAAAGAGAAAATACTTGACATAGTAACAGTAGACTAGATAAAATCATAAAAAGTAATCCTTCTGTCCACATTTTCTTCAATGTAGTTTAGCATTGTAAATTGGTACCTGTTAAAATAATATCTTCCACTCAATTAGAAAAGGAAATTTTGAAAATAATAATTATTTAGAGCTGGGCTCAGTGGCTTCTGACTGTAATCCCAGCTACTTGGGAGGCCAAAGCAGGAGGACTGTTTGAGCCCAGAAGTTCGAGGCTGATCCACCTGTGAATAGCCACTGCACTCCAGTCTGGGCAACAGAGAGACACCCTGTCTCTACCAAAAAAATTTATTATTATTTAATGACATAATTTTATATGTAATTATTAAGATTCTTTTACATTTGAATGGACATTTAAATAAGTAAAATTTGACCTTTTAAGACCACAAAGAAAAAGGCTTTAATTGCCTACATAATCACTACCTGTTCATGAAGGTCTCTCCATCAACCAAGACTTCAGAAGCAGCATGACTGACTGGTCAAAAGTAAGGTTCTCTCCCAGGTATTATTTTCCATACAGAAAAACGTAATAGTGTTTCCCAGCTTCATAGTCACTCTTACATCTCCCAAAATGATCATGTATGGAACTCTGTGAAAAATGCATGGTCCCATGTATATTTAAGCAATCCCCCATAAAAAGCCTTATTGAATAGTTTTGTTGTGGTGGTTGTTGTTTTAGACGGAGTTTCGCTCTTGTTGCCCAGGCTGGAGTGCAGTGGCACAATCTCGGCTCACCACAACCTCTGCCTCCCAGGTTCAAGTGATTCTCCTGCCTCAGTCTCCCTAGCAGCTGGGATTATAGGCATGCACCACCATGCCTGGCTAATTTTGTATTTTTAGTAGAGACAGGGTTTCTCCATGTTGGTCAGGCTGGTCTCAAACTCCCGACCTCAGGTGATCTGCCTGCCTCGGCCTCCCAAAGTGCTGGGATTACAGGTGTGAGCCAACAAGCCTGGCCCACATTCTTAAAAATTTAAACTGAATTTGGCTTAGAATATTTTTTGTTTCTTCTCATTTGGAAAACATGGGAATGTCCCCTATTCGGGTTACCTATTCTTGGGTATTTAAAATTCAAAATAAAAAATGACAGCCAATAAAGTTCTATTCAGACAAGTCCTTTGACATTAATAAACTAAAATTAAGAGAACCTCAATTTTGATGTTTATGATATTTGAATATCTCTGATTTGAGATATTCACATATTTAAGTAATTCTGATTTAATCACATACATTTTATATTGAGGTATTTTTTTCTATTTACACATACACACAGACTGGAAAGAGTACCAACACAATCTCTGAATGTTAGAATTTTTAAAAACTTTTAAAGATACATTACAGAAAAATTGTAGCACAACCCCCCTACACAGACAAATAAAACCCACAGCACTCTATATTACTGCCTCAAAACCTTTAAACATTAGAATTATATTTGTAGAGTCAAAATCTTAAGAAATTGTCAGATTTTAATATTCTTATCACTATTCTTAAAGTCACTATATTAAATGTCAAGATGTTTTCAATGGGTTTTTATCCTTCTGCCAAATATTTTCACAATTTCTACTGTCAAATATTATGCCAAAAAAAAATTTGCTCAAAGTAATAATAGCACATTGTTAATCACGTGATTAAAAATATGCAAGCACAGCTAGGCGTGGTGACTCACGCCTGTAATCCCAACATTTTGAGATGCTGAGGCGGGTGAATAACCTGAGGCTGGGAGTTCGAGACCAGCCTGACCAACACAGAGAACCCCGTCTCTACCAAAAATACAAAATTAGTTATGTGTGGTGGCGCATGCCTGTAATCCCAGCTACCCTGGAGGATGAGGCAGGAGACTCGCTTAAACCCAGAAGGCGGAGGTTGCAGTGAACCGAGATTGTGCCATCGCACTCCAGCCTGGGCAACAACAGCAAAACTCCATCTCAAAAAAAAAAAAAAGGTGAGCATAAATAATGCAGTCTTCTACTGTATCTTCATTTTTAAAAATTTTGTTATAAAAAATTAGCTGGGCACAGTGGGTGGGCACCTGTAATCCTAGCTACTAGGGAGGCTGTGGCAGGAGAATCGCTTGAACCTGGGAGTTGGAGGTTGCAGGGAGCCGAGATCCTTTTATCGAACTTCAGCCTGGGCGACAAGACCGAAACTCTATCTCAAAAGAAAAAAAAATTCTATTATACAGTGAAGGACACCTTCTAACTGTGTTTTCTGCTATGCCCAGGAGCTGAAGGTGATGAAAAAAAGGAGGTGTTTGAAGTCCAACACAAAAGAGATAATTTATTGATTTATATGCTCTTTAACCTAAGGATGTAATCTTTATGATATAATAACTAGGTTCTGAAAATAAACATGGCAATTTGTTAAAGAACTAAACTTATGCCCAGGTTGTCAGGAGGCTGTGCTGTTAGGCTGGTAGGAAAGAGAGGAGGTTGGAGTAGGCAGACTAGGGTTCGTGTCTGGCTCTTGGACAATTCCTAAACTTCTGAGCTCTTTATCTCCCTCACTTCAAATGGTAATAACAATACTAACTTGTGCTATTGTGAGAACTGATGAAGGAGTTTATTTATAGGAAAGCCTTCTAGAAACTCAATATAAATATAAATATAAATATAAATGCTAGGTGTGGGACATTTCTGTTTGTTAGTTTGACAAACTTTTATTTGGAATATACCATAAAATCAAATGCTTTCCTCTTTTTTGATTTCTAGTAAAAAAGACAATCCTCCTCTGTAAGGAGGTCCTTTGATCATCTTTACTCCTTCCTACAGTGGACAAACCAGGATAAAGTGACCACGCTATTAGAAAAATGCCCTGAGAACAGTTACGGCTGAAACACCAGTGTGACTTGACATCTTGCGAATACTTTGTTTCGGAACTGTGGTCCTCTCAGGAGTTCTGGCTCTGGTCTCTGACATGCTGATGGACAGCAGAGGAAGACTTCCTTCTCTCTTCAGTGTCGCCTTAGAAATCTGCCTGCCGGGGCTGACCATCACTTCCCAGCCAGTGATGGAAGGGAATGAATTTATGTAACATTTCTTCCATCTAACAGCCAGAGGCACAGAAGTCTCAGTGTGCTATTGATTCCCAGATGTTCAGTTGAATTATTGATGGAAAATATAAAAGGAGTAAAATAAAGGGAAGGATTGAAGGTACACCTTCTTCTGTCAAGTCTCCCATGTTCCTCTTTAGACCTTAGATATCTCTCTATTAAAAAGTACATTTTGGAAGGAAAAAATGTACAATGAAGATACATCCAGCCAAGCACAGTGGCTCACCCCTGTAATCTCAGGACTCTGGGAAGCCAAGGTGGGAGGATCACTTGAGGAAAGGAGTTTGAGACCAACCTGGGCAACACAGCAAGATCCTATGTCTACAAAAAATAAAACTCAGCCGGGTGTGGTGGTGTGTGCCTTTAGTCCCAGCTACTCGGGAGGTTGAGGTGGGAGGATTACTTGAGCCAGGAATTTGAGGCTGCAGTGAGCTATGACTGTACCATTGTACTCTACCCTGGATGACAGAGTGAGACCCCCATCTCAAAAACTTAACAAAAAAAAAGCAGGTCCAATATGGACTATTTGTAATATACCGAGAGAGATTAAAAGAATGAAAGGGTTGGCAGCTGCATTGTTTCTCTGGCCACCTGGCATGAGGGATCTTAAATATGCACATCCCAGGATGTGGGGTCAGTGGAATTTCACATTTTCTGAGAGATGTTTCATTTAGAAAGTAAAATTATATAAATTATACGACCTAAAAGCAAAATATTTTCCTATTTGGAGCCAACTTTTAAGATTTAGAGGCTAGCCACACCTATGCACTCTCTTCCACCCTTCTAGCCATTTGATGGGCTACATCCTTGGTATCAGCAGATGTAATATATAATTGTATGTAGAAATATCATTCCTTCAAGAAGTCCTTAAGTCATCGAGGCAAAACAATCGATGTGAAATTATTCCCCCAAGAGATCCTCCTGTTTTTACAACAATAGGTTTTCTAAAGGATTCTATGAGATGTTAACCCTCAGAAATGTAGACAACAAAAGGGGAATTTCTGGCTCTATAGATGTGCCCTGGACTGCACAGACATAGACATGTGACACTCATTCCTGTGGGGTAGGTGCAAACATTTCTGTCCGCCATGTGAAAATCTGCTTGTAAGAAAAAAGAAAGTAACATTTACAGAAGTGTGAGATGCACAATGCAAATGTACATGTGAAAACCCAACAGCAATTATTTAATACCTAAAAATATTAATTATAAGTAAATATAAACATGAAGTACGAATGAATAGAATGTATTTTCTACAGAATCGAGTACAGTAAGTGATTGGACATACAGAAAACAACACTTCAGAATATCATTTAAAAGACTCTCAAAGGGTGAAGATTTTCCCAGCAGATATGTACTCAAAAGAGCCAATGATAGAAAGCAGGGTTTGAAACAGCCCCAGCCTTTTCTAAATATACCTGGGCCCTGAGCTACCATCACCCTCACCACCAGTGATTATACTTGGTTTCTGTGAGCATGCTTCTTTGTTACACAGTGCGCCCCGTGAGGGCAGAGGCTCTGTTGTATTCATCATATTATCCATCCCCGGGGTGAAACAATGGTTACACCAAATGGCTGATAGTTTTTAAATAGTTGCTAAATAAATGATTATACAAAGCTGCAGTAAAGAAAAAGATTAAAAAGAATAATTCAAGAATTATTTCAAAAATTTCATTATAGGCATGGAAAAGAAAGTAATTAACTATTTTCTATTTAAACAAAATTAAAATTAGGTAAAAATTAAAATATTTACATACAAGTGAGGAGGACTTGAGCATAAGAAGAAAAAACATGAAACAGGTTACTAAGAAAGGTGATGGAATTTATCAGCATTCTTAGAAACCTTTGAAATAAATGCACCCTTGAATA